TAAAAAAAAACAGAAAACAAATGTTGGTGAGGATGTGGGGAAACTGGAACCCTTATTCATTGTTGGTGGGAATGCAAAATGGTATACCCATTGTGGAAAAGTGAGGCAGTTCCTCAAAAAACTAAATATAGAACTACCATATGACCCAACATTCCACTCCTAGGTATATACCCAAAAGACTTGAAGGCAGAAACTCAAGCAGATACTTATACACCAATGTTCATTACAGCACTATTCACAATGGCCAAAGGTGAAAACAACCTAAATGCCCATCAACAGATGAAGAGATAAACAAAATATGGTACATACATACAATGGAATACTGTACAGCCAGTAAGAGAAATGAAGTCTTCATACATGCTACAATATGGTAGAGCTTGAAGACATTATGGTGAGTGAAATTAGTCAACCACAAAGGACAAATACTGTATGACCTCAATGGCATAAAAAGACAAAAACAGGCAAATGTATAGAGACCAAGTTTCCTACTGGTTACCAGGAGCAGGAAGGAGGGGGAAAGGAGGTTACTGTTTATGGAGTACTGAATTTCAGTTTACAGTGATGGGAAAATCACGCTGAGTAAGGGCAGGGTTGCACAGCTGAGTAATGTAATTGCTGTCAATAAGCTGTACACCTCTGAAAAGCTGAACAGGAAAAAGCTGTGTGACTGACATTTTTAAAACGATGACATAAAAAAAAAGAGTAGCTATTCACGTAAAACCAAACACCTCATGGGATTTGGTTCCTTGGTTTGGAGGTTTAGGGTCATGGTTTTATGGGACATCCCAGTGAACTGGCATAATAATGTATTTAATGCTTCTGTTCTACCCTCTAGCTCGTTGCGTACTGTTTGGGGTCTTAAAAGCTTGCAAGCAGCCATCTAAGCCACAATTGGTCTCTACTCACCTGGAGCAACAGAGGAAGAAGAGACAGGAACAAGAGGAGGAAATGGAACATGCAGCTAACTGCCTCCGTTGCCATGAGACCAGAAGAGCGGGATAGTGCCTGGCTACCATTATTGCATGTTTTGATCAGACTCTACAGAAGAATCTTTATCAAAAGGGAGAAAATGCAGAACAGAATTTCAATTTCTTGTCAAATCCAGATTTTCTGGAGCCAAGGAGGCTGGATGAACCCCTGAAACTACTGCTCTGCGATAATCTTTAAACCTTAAACCAAAAATATCCCCTGAAGTCTTCTTGAAACCAAACAATAGTTTAGCTTAACAAGTAAAGAATGTCTGCCTTGAGCATTGTACTCTTTTAAAATCTACCTATATGGAATCAAACTGACAACAGCAACTCGAATGATTAGATAGGAACCTTAGGGAGCAGTGAGTTTATGTTAATGGGGGAAGAACAACTCAGAAAAGAAGAGTGAGAATGGGTATACAACCCCAAAAATGTCATCAATGTCAATGAATAGTACACGCAGAAACTGTTGAATTGGTATATGTTCTGCTGTGTATATTCTCGACAACAACAAAATATAAAATAAATTAAATATATTTTAAAAAGTACAATGAAAACAGACCAGTCTTTACTTACTGACATGATTAGGTTCCAAACACATCATTATGCGAAATACTTGCAATTTCCTGCCCCAGCCCTCCCAGCTGAGAGGCCACAGCCTCTCCGTACCTGCGGTAGTCATGGGCTCACCCTTGCTCTGCTTGCAGAATTCGAATCCATGCTGCGGGCTGCTAGCAAGGCATCCTCAGCTGGCCCGGTGTCCCATCTTGGGCTCTGCGGTACACTTGGTGCGGGAAACAGGACGGGCAGTGAACTGAGGCCTCAGCCGGGGGCAGCTCCAAGAGTGGTGAGTACTGCCCACTGTCCACATGGGGTGGATGGTGGAGCATGCTGGCAGAGGGCTGGGAGGAGGGAGGGAGAGTGGGAGCCTGGAAGAATTGGGAGCGTTGGGTGCCCTGCAAGTTCTAGAATGGGGTTAAACAACCCAGGCATGGGGTGGCTCCTCCCTCCATGTGCCCTGGACAAGCTGCGCACAGTGAGGGTATGTGAGTCTATGGGGTCATTAATGCACAAAGTAGTCAGACAGTAGATTTTTTTACTATTGTGGTAAATGTAAAATGTCGGATAATGAGACAGTCAGTAAGTGAGAAATAGGTGTACGTTAATAATACCTGAGGGACCCTAAAAGAAGATTTTTTTGTTTTTGCTTTTAAAATGCAGATATTGTTGAGAACTTTTTCTAATATAGGACTATACCTCTTCATGGGGGTCCAGGTAAAAATTTATCCCAAACATGAATGCCAAGGAAAACCACACTGCTGATATTTAATCTTATGGATACTATGAGCTCAGAACTGACGATATCCCTCTTTGCCTGGCCTCTAGAAAAATTAAAATTGCATGTTTTAAGGTAACAGCTAAATGCACTTGTACTAAATAGACAGCATTCAGGTTTATATTTCTGCATACTGACTGCCTGGCTTCGTTTTACTTTCAGCTTGCCTGCACCTTGACCCATTTGTCTATTTTAATCCTACTACCATATAATTTTTTGTGAGCCACCTCTAGCTCTTTCTGAAAGGGACTACAGTGAAAAGTAAATACTAAAAAAGCAAACACACGCCTGGGGTAAGAGTCCGGAAGGAAATATATTCAGATGTAAATAGTACTTATGGAATTGTCATGTTTTGCAAATCTCTGTGGTGTGCTAACATCCCATTCCACTTTTCTAATAGAAAACTTGATTAAAAGCCTACATCAGATGTCAAACGCTAAACTCTAAGTGTCCTCTGGCAAAGAATAAGTAGGGAAAACACCGAGAATATGTCTCTATTCCTGAAAAGCAGAACTGAGGCCAGGAAGGTAGGCAGTGAGCACTGCCAGAGCTGCAGCCTCATAGTGCAGGATGTGTCCAGGCAAGCTGCACTCAATGTGCACCTGCCGCTGGGTCTGGCTCTTCCACAGCCCACTGGGTTTTATTCAACATGCCTAGGTGCTGGTAGACCCAGTGAGGCCTCGGAACCTTGGCATGGGCAGGCAGGTGACCACCTGCACCCTCAGCTACTGTTGTACACATCCACTCATTTCATTTGCCCAACCATCCTGAGGCAGAGGTGCAGAGATGCAGACGAGGGAGTAGGGTGAAGGAGGTCAAGACTGCCCCTGACTGCGGGTCTAATGCCAGGGCCTGTGCACTCTCCATTGTGCTAGGCTACATCTCTAAGATGGCCACAGTCACCTCGTCAGACCCCTCACATTACAGACAGAAGTCTGGGGCCCTGGAAACTCAGTAACCTGCCCAAATAGATACAGCTAGTTGGATAAACACATAAGATTCACTGCCCCCAGTCCTGCATTCTATCCACCAAACAAAAGTGCCTTAAACAGATGAGGACGCCTTAAGCTTCAAGACTGAGTCTATGAAAGCAGCCACTCATGAAGGCAAAGGTGCTGGCACAAAGCCAGATGCACCTTCCTGGGCCCTCCTAAAGGAGACCAGGCACCACAGGACTTTCAGAGCCCACAGCACACAGCTCCGCAGCATCAACACATAGGAGATAAACCTGCAGTCACAGACGTCTGCCTCCTCGAATGCCAGTAAACTGGCAATCTGTCAGGAAGAAGATGCTCAAAGCTACAGAGAAATCACAAGTGAATGAATGAATCCTGCAAATCAGTGGGTGGATGATTAGGATGCCTGACCTACAGCGTGACCTTGGTGAGTCACTTTACCTCTCTGATCTTCAGTTTCCTCATGTAGAAAACAGTATCTTGAACACTCGTGAGTTGGGTAGACAACACGCCAGCTATTACACACACAGCTCATCAGGTCCTGACAACAGCCCTGGGGTAAGGATTATCCTTGTGACAGCCCCGAGATGCTCAAATCTCCCTTTGAGGGAGAACGTGCTGCGAGGAGTGCAGGGGGCTGATGGCCTCCAGGTATCACATCTTTGGGACCCTCCACACCATTTACCTCAAGGCCACTCTCCCGAGACTGCTCCCAGCCAATGACTGACCCAGTCGGGGTACAAGAGCCAAGCCATTCCTGCCCTTGTCAGACTCCTCAAATGAGTAAACTGTGCCTGGCTGAATCATCCTCAGAGCTACAATGCAGCCCAAAGCTCTTCCTACTTGATCCTCCTTCCTTCCCTCTGTCCTTTCACCAGTGTTAGACCTGCACTGCAGACTGAAGCTCTCCTGCCCGCTCCTGCTTTCTCTTTCCTTTCTCTTTATTGTCATTTCCTCCAATAAATCTATTGCACATCTAATTCTACTTTGGTGCCTGTGCCTCAGAGAACCTGAAATAACACTATCCCCGTTTTACAGATGAGGAAACTGAGGTGATTAACATACCTGAGATCATACAATTAGGATACAAGCCCATATCTGATTCCACAGCCTAAGCTCCTAACACTTTGTAAAGTGACTCCACAGGATTATTAGAAAAAGGCCAAGTTGTGCCACGGGAATGGAACCAGATCAAGAGGCCATGCCATCATATATCAACAGAGTGACATTTAGTAGATGAATTCTTTAACCTCATTCTCCCTATTTTATGAATGACAAAACTATCACCAAACCTGCCTACTCACAAAGTAGCTGCAATAATTAAATGAAACCTCTTCCCTAAGAAGTTGGCAGGTAAATACAGCATGTGAGCAGGAAATTCTGCTAACTGTAACATGGTATGCAAACCTATGTAGACAAATAGATAATGGCCCTGAACCTGAAGAGAGTAGTGCCATTTACCTCAAAAAGCTCTAAAAATATGGGAGAAAATGATTATGGAATGGAGAAAACGAAGGACAAGGTTAAATATTCCAACCTTCCATTTTTCTGCCTTAAGATAATGAGTCTCTTGCTCGTGTCCACATACCCAGCACCTATAAGAGGACGTGGCACACGAGGCACTCAGAAATAGTTGTTGAAAGAGACCAACTTCAAGAAGGCACTCCAGTCACCAACATTTTGTCCTCCAACACAGGCTCGCATTTTCCCCACAGCCTCATATGCAAAGCAGGGTACCTGGCAGTTCATGTTGTCCTCTGCCTCAATGAGCTTCCCCCGGTACACCTCACCAGTGTTCGTCTCACACGTTACAATGTGGCCCTCAGCCTCGTGCAGAACTTTAATCGGCACACCAATAGACATCTTGGCGGGAAGAGAGTTCTGTAGTGAGAGAGACAGCAGTTAGTTCATCTTTCAGAGCCCAAGAAGGCACACAGCACACACATGCCTCCTTCAGGGCCTGGCACTCCATAAAACTTAGCTGCATTTCCTGAGCTATTGAAACAGGAGTTTAGCTCCTAGCTTGGAAGTACCTATCTGGCAAACGCATGCCAGATGAGGAGTAAGGTGAAAAGGAAGGCTGGACAGAGAAGGCTAATGGGGATGAAAAGAGTGCTTCCCGTCTCCCTCCACACTACCACATCTCTCTATCTTCATCAAAATGACCATTAACCAATATTATTGGGGGGGGTGTGGAGAAGAGGAGTGAATGCCATGTGCTGTACAAATGTACCTGCCAACTCATTGCTGTGGGTGACCCCACTTTGAGAACCCACGGTACAGACCTAAGCTACCCAATACAGTGGCCACAGTCCACATGTAGCTACTTAAATTTTAAAAAGATGAAATAAAACTAAAATTTCAGTTCCTGAGTCACATTAGCCAAACTTCAAGTGCTCCAATGGCCACAGGTGGCTAGTAGTTACCACAGTGGACAACACAGACCAAAGGACCCACCAACAAATTTACGAGAAGAGGCTATGCTTTTAAGTTAACCCATTTAGTGTCCTAAGGCACCCCATTTACATCACCATTGAGGCGAAAAAGAAAACATAAAAATGTTCACAAAGTGATAATGTGCTATAAGCAGAAAGATTTATCTTGTACGAAAAAGGTAACCAGGGCAAACACCTGACAGGACCTATTAAAAGAGAAAAGCACTGAACGTTTTTACTCTGCGATGAGCAAAGGCTGAAGCCTGGAACAGAAAGGACTCCAGGAGACTCAACCCTACCCCAAAAGGGGACCATGAAGTTGGGAAAGTTGGTTTCTCTTGGTGAGAATCACTGAGTTCCAGCTTTAGGAGTTTGAATTTTATGCTGAAGACAGAAAGAACCACTGCAGGATCATGCCAAGAATGACCCAATGAACAAGTAGCAGCATTTAAAACTTCTGCAACAGCGTGGAAAGCAGGAAGTTATCCGAAGTGCAAAAACCTGGAAAAGGATGCTCCAGACAGGATTTTGGGGAAGGAGATAATCACTCAAAAATGATTTTACGATTATTTCCTGGATACTTCAAAAAACACTGACGTAGAGTCACAAAACAATGTGTACTAATTGTTTAATGAAAAGCTAGTTTGTTTTGCGAACCTTCACCTAAACTACAGTAATAAAAAAATTTAAGACAAAAAAAGAACACTAATGCGGAGAGGTGTAAAAACTGAGAAACATGTATTTTGGAGAAAGCTAACAAACTCAGAGGCGCGAGCGAGGCGACGCTGCTGCCTCGGGTTTCTCGCTCTCCTCCCTCCCAGAGGCCCGCTGAGCTCCAAGGCAGCGCGTCCTTCCCAAGCCCCGGCCCCTCCAGGGCGCCTCGGCCTCCCCTCGCCCGTCCCCGGCCTTTCCTCACCGGCTACGGCCTTGTCTTCCGCTTCTTCCGTGCTGCACCAACTTCGGTAGCAGCGAAAGCGTGAGCGAGCGAATGGCGGGCAGTAGCTCCCAGAAGACCCCGCGTTCCCAAAATACCGCGCGCGAGGCCTGCCCCTTCCTGTCTCTGGTGGTGAGCCCGGTCTCACCTCGACTGCCTCCTCACCCAGCCGGCTGGGAAACGCAGGCTGTGGCACTATAGTTCCGGTCCCGGAAAAAGAGCGCTGATGACAGGGCCCGGGTACCGCTGGAACCACCGACCCTCGGGCCGGCAAGGGGAGAGGGAACCTCGCGCTTCCAGGCACTCTACGCCAGGGCCAGGCTGGACAGCAAGGCAGGGATGTGGGGCCTGGGCCCTCGGATCGGGGGCGGCAGGCAGTGGGGCTAAAGGCCACGACCTGCCCTCACAAGTTAGCCATTGGAACCCGGCACCGCCAGGTAAGGAGCGTCCCGAGCGAGGCGAAGTATCCATTGTATGGACAGGGAAGATGAGGTATAGAGTAAAGCGGGGCTGTCCAGGGTCATCCCTCAAGCGAATCGGAGTAGGGTTGGGTCTCCTGGAGGCCCGGCTGTACCTGGGGCAGACCCGGCAGCGAGGCCCACAGGGGCGGAGCCTGACTGAAGGGAAGAGCTCCAGGCTTCGGGGCGGGGCTCCGGGAAAGGGGCGGGGTCACCAGAAAGCGAGACTGCGAATGGCCGGGGCCGGCTTCGATCAGGCCGTTGGGAAAGGAAGGGAAGGGGCCTCCAAGCCTGGGGCCTCGGCGGGGGCGGGGCTTCCGAGTCCGCGTCCGCGGCCAGGCAGGGCTGGGGCGGGGCTCGGGGCGGCGGGTCGCCGCCGATTGCTCTCCTTTTTGTGAACCTGACTCGCAGACGCCGCGCTGCCGCCCCAGCCCGAGCCGCAACCTGCGCAGGGCCGGGGCCATGGGCGCCCCGCGCCGCCCGGGTCATGAGGACGGAGGCGGAGGCAGCGGGGCCGCCGCTAGAGCCTGGTCAGTGCCTCCCTAGGGTCCAGCCCTGGCCCCGGGGAACGAGGGTCTGGCCGCGCGACCTTGGGCCGACCGCCGCCTGGTGTGCACTCTGGAGCTTGGATGGGACGGGGCCAGCTGGACATCACGACCCGGCCCCCCTTGCCAGTCGGGGTTTTCTTGTCCTCCTGGAGCTGGGGCCCCTGTCGCCTGGCCGTGGGGCGGGGTGGGGCCGGTCCAGGGTGTGAAGCAGAGCGTCACCTTGCTTAGAAGCGGGAAGTCTAGCTGGAGACGCCCTGGAAGATCTGTCCCCTCGGGGAGCTGTGGGGACAGTGAGGCCCAGGGAAGGACAGGGGACTGGCAGGGAGCACAGAGCAAGAGCGCCCCTTCCTTCCCCCGGCCTCCCAGACTGTAGTCAGCTCTTTCCTTGCTACATGTCTTCACCCTTCGTTCCTTCTGCCCTAAGGTGCCCATTAAGGTGGAGACCACTACTGATGGGTTACTGCCACGGCCTCAATTTGCTTGTCTGAGAAGGGGGGGAGGGGGGAAGGAGAGGTGCGGAGATTCCTTCTCTGTTGAGAAGAGGTGCCAACCCAGGGAGAGGCCAAAGCATGTGGGACTGGCCCTGAGGTGTCATGGTTTGTGGCATCACACCAGGGAGGGGTCCCCTTTGTGATTGCAGCGTGGAGCGGCAGTCTGATGCTATCCTGTCCCTGTTCTCCGGTTAGCTCAGCCGTGCTCTTGGGCAGGACACCGCCTTTCCTGAGCCTAGCTGAGTCCTGGCTCATATTTATAGGGGTCTTCCTATGAGGTAGGCACTGTGCTAAGTGGTGTATGCGCAGTACCTCGTTAATCCTCATGATGACCCAATGAAGGAGACTACCACTGCTGTTATTCCAGTTTTGCAGATGAGCAAACTGAGGCTGAGAGAAGGTGAGTACCCAGGGCCAGTGAGTGCCCTCCCTTCTCTGATGACAGCTGCCAGTTGATGCCAGGGCTCTCCAGGCAGGCCCATCTCTCAGATGGGGTGTTTCCTTGGCTTCAGGCATTAACAGCTGGCAATGGTTTTGGGCTTGGAAGGCTGAAGTTGTTATCAGGACAAAGGCCAAGGCCTTGCCTGTCCTTATCATCCCCCTCACACACACACAGTCACCTCCAGCTTCCTATAGACTGGCCTGCCTGGGCCAAGGCTGGGGACAGCCACATGGAGTTTTGGCCCTTCGGGGCCTCAGGCTCAAGGGTTCTGGAGCTCAGGACAAGAGGAGGAGGGGCAGCTGAGAGTCCGAGAGCCCTAGAGAATGCTGCCCAGCACAGTCACAGGGGGCCTGGCCATAGGTGGCCCAGCTGGTGTAGCCAGAGCCGGTGCCAACCAGAGTAGGGAGGCAGCCTTGAGCAGAGGGCAGTGGTCTGGAAGCCTGGGGGCAGGACAACACCAGTAACAAGGAGGCCCGGGCATCTCAGGAAAATGCCTTCTCTTCTGTAAGTATGCCTGAGCGCCTGCCACCGAGGAGTTCTCAGGCTGTCTAGTGGGGAAGGCGGGCGCGACCTCAGGTACTCCACACTGAGGCGTGGAGCAGATCGGGACCTGTTCAAAGATAGGAGACGACACTGCAGACTAAGGCACTGTGAGTGCACAGACCGGACGTAAACAGCCTGTGCAGAGAAAAACAGGTGGTGGTGTGTGGCCACAGTGACGGGTACTTGAGAAGGAAGGCACCCCCACCCCCCGCCATGATCACACAGCACCCTATATAGAGCTTGCTCCCTCCCCTCAGCCCATTTGGGGCATACTTATTTTAGAATATAAATATCCAGAGGCAAGGCTTTGTTTTAATCACCTGTGTGTCATCAGAGCCTAGCACATAGGGAGTGCTTAATAAGTTCATTTGTTCCAACAAATATTTATTGAGTTACTCCTAAGCATCAGATACTGTTGCTGTTGTTAATGGCGACCCCATGTGTCACAGAGTAGAACTGCTCCGTAGGATTTTCTTGGCTGTAATCTTCACAGAAGCAGATTGCCAGGCCTTTCTTCCACAGTACTGCTTGGTGGGTTCGAACTGCCAGCTTTTCTGCTAGCAGTCGAGCACAAACCATTTGCGCCACCCAGGGACTGTAAGCATTGGATGCCAGGCACTGGGAATAACAGTGAACAAGATGAGTTGAGGTCTCTGCCCTCAGGAAGCATGCAGACTAGTTGGGGAGACAGATAATAGCTTTGGTTTTTTTTTGGTTTTAAGTTTCTTTTGATAAGCACTATGTGAAACAAAGAGGTTGCTGTGAAGGAGGGTCCCCCACTCTGCCCCCAAAAGGTATAGTCAGGAAAAGCTTCTCAGAAGAGGAGACTTTGAGCTGGGACCTGACAACAAGAAGTAGCAGCCTTGAGAACAGCAAGGGGAAGAGAGTTCTAGGCATAGGGTGCCCTGCATGAGCAAAGACCCTGGGGCGGGATGGATCTTGATGGGTTCACAGTGTAACTGGAGCAAGGTGAGTGAAGCTGGTGGGGCCTGGGTGGGCAGGGCCACAGGAAGGGGAGAGGACTCTATTCTAAGAGCATTGGGAAACTGCATGAGATTCCTCAGGCAGCTATGTGTGGAGACAGGGTCAGGGCTGGGGGAGGGATTTGGGGCAGGAGTCAGGCAGGACTAAATCTGTGGCAGTAGGAGGAGGTAAGCATGTGAGAACCTTGGGCAGAGGCCCGGACTCCTTTCAAACGCACCTGGGGTAAGCATGGAGCCGCTGGAGTTGCAAATGGTTCATGCGCTCCACTGCTAACCAAAATGTTGGAGGTTCGAGTCCATCCCAAGGTGTCTCAGAAGAAAGGCCTGCTGATGGACTTCTGAAAAATCAGCCATTGAAAAGCCCACAGAGCACAGTACTACTCTGATATACATGGGTCACCGTGAGTCAGAGTCAACTCCACAGTCACTGGTTTTTTTGGGGGTAAGTGGAAGGAGGGGGACAAATCCTGGCCCGGGCTCGGTGCACCAGGCCCCAGCTGGGGGCAGGGTCAGGGCAGCACCTGTGAAGGGCTTTATGCATATTCTTGCCTGGGTGCTCATAGCACCCTATGGGCTGGGAACTGGGGTGGCCATTTCAGAGTAGGAAGCAGGTCAGGTGACTTGGCAAGGGGTTGGTGTGTGGCAGTCTGGCCTCCATGCCCTCCTGCAGGCCGGTAGTGGTGAGGAGTGGGGTGTCAGGCAGTATAGTGCTGCAAAGGACAGTCGTAGGTCCCTGCCTTCTGGGAGCGCACACTCAGTCCAGCAGGGCACATAGCTGGGTGCAGGGCCAGGTACAGGACCTCTCCTGTGGACTGGAGCAGGGACTCAGGCCACGCGGAGTGCAGACACATGAAAGGCTGCGGCCTTGGAGTTGGAGGCATTGGAGCTAGGCCCTGATGCATGAGCATAGCAGTTCAGGAGCTGGGAGTCAGTCTAGGCCGGGGACTACACAGACATAGGCTGGAAAGCCCAGGGTGACCCCAGACCCTGGGAGTGATCCCTCCTGCTGGCACAAGAAGGGGCAGTGGAAGTCAGGGCTGGTGGGCCCCCCAGCAGCTCAGCATGGAAAGTCCCTGGGACCCCTGAGACGGGGAGACAAACCGCTGGATCCTCGCATTGAGTTGGCGTCATTAATGAGTAATGAAGTGGTGGCTAGTGCAGGGAAGTCCCTTCTGGTCCTTTAGATTCTGGACTTTGTTTGGATTCCTGGCCTCCCATAGTGGCAAGCCTGGGAAGCCCCATACGAGCCCTTCTGTCTTGGCCCCAGCACCTGCCACTCGCCCTTGCTGTCACCTTCTGCTCACTCTTCCTGTCTCATGGGAGGCACCTCCTCACAGTATCTCCTGACTCACTCTCTAAGGCACAGCCTGGCTTAGCTTTCTGAGGCCACTGTAACGAATTACTACACACTGGGCAGCTTAAACAACAGGAACCTACTCTCTCATAGTTCTGGAGCTAGAAGTCCGAATTCAGGTGTCAGCAGGGCAGTGCTGTCTCTGAAGGCTCTAGGGAAGAGCCTTCTTTCCTCTTCCAGCTCCTGGTGCCTCCAGGCCTTTCCTGGCTTGTAGCTGTATCATTCCAGTCTGCCTCAGTCTTTATGTGGCCGTCTTCCCTCCTGTGTCTGTCTGTCTTTATAAGGACACCAGTCATTGGATTTAGAACCCATCCTAATCCAGCATGATCTCATCTTAACTCAATTACATCTGCAAAGGCCCTACTTCCAGATAAGTCATATTTACACAAACCAGCGGTTAGGACTTGAACATAACACAATTCAGCCCACGACAAACCCCCGCCATTTTCCGCGTTGTTGTGTGCCGTCGAGTTGATTCCAACTCATGGCAGCCCCATGTGTGCAGAGTAGAACTGTTCTGTAGAGTTTTCTAGGCTGTGACCTTTTGGAAGCAGATCTCCAGGCCTGTCTTCTGAGGCTTCTGTGGGTGGGTTTGAGCTGCCAACCATTTGGTTAGCAGTCGAGTGCTTAACTCTTGCGCCACCCAGGGCCTTCTCCCTTGCCCAACACCCTATTTTTCTTGTTTCATGCAGCATGGTCAGTCCTTCGCCTGGTTTCACTTTCCTGGGACAGGGACTTGCCAATGTTCTCTATGTTGGATCTCCAGGGCACATGCCAGCCACTTACTGGGCACTTGAGACCTGTTTGCAGATTGGATGACTGAGTCAGACCAAAGTCCCACTTTAGAGATGGCTGGGCTCAGTCCCGCACGAGGAAGTCTGGTGCCTGTCACTGTCCCTCACTACTGTGGTGTGGACAGACAGTGGGTGAGGTTTGCAGACCATTTCATACACACTGACGTGCTACTCCTCCTAACTATGCTCCTTGTACCTCGGGAGTCCTGGGGGCTTTGGAGCTGGGACATTCCAGGGCCCTCTGGAATTAGACATGACTGTGCTGTGTGCCTCCCGCATGCTGGCCCCATGGTTACAACAGGAAGCCGACCAGCCCTGTCCCTACCTCTTCAGAGCACTCACCTGGAGAAGGGCTTGGAAGAGAGGCCTGGGGGGCCATGAGTGTGTGTAGTGGGGTTGGGCCTGATGTACAGCATCCTGGAGAAGTGGCACCTGAGGGCCACAGTAAGCTCAGGAATGTGCAGGCAGAGGGGCTGGGCATGCAAAGAACTTGGGGCTGAGGGGCCATGGCAGGTGATGGTTCTGCCTGGAGGCAGGCCTGGTGAGGGCGGGGAGGCAAGGAGGCAGCAGCCATGATGGGCACCCACCAGTGCAGGGTTCTGAGTAGGGCCAACCAGCTCTGACTGCATTTGGGAAGACCCCTGCCTGTTGCAGGAGAGTGAATTGGAGGGACTGGAGGGCCACAGGCAGGCAGGCCTCTGAGAGCCCCTGCAGGGTCTTGGCAGAGGATGAAGGCAGAGTCTTCGACTGGTGGTGATCCTGTGTTTCTGTGCAGGGGACTTCGTGCAGTTGCCCGTGCCCATTATCCAGCAGCTCTACCACTGGGACTGTGGCCTGGCCTGCTCCAGGATGGTGCTGCGGTAAGTGGGCACCTGGGAGGGTACAGAGACTGGGGCCACTGTCCTCAGGCCATCGTGGTCAGGACTGAGGGAGACCCGGCTTCCCTCTGGGCAGGATCACTGTCCTCAGGCCTTGTGGTTGGGACTGGGGGAAGGCCCAGCTTCCCTCCAGGGGCAGTCCTATATTCAAAGCTGGTAAGGGCTTGACCAAGCCTCTGGTTCTCCCTTTGGCCATGCCTTGGGGCTTTGAGGCTGGCTGGGAATCCCCTCGTGCTCTGACCTGCCCCACAGAGTGGCCCACATTTGGGACAGGGACCATCACCCTCTGGCCTTGGACTCCTGGCCATGGGAGATGGGGTTACCTCAGAGCCAACCTCTGAGCTGAGGCTGCATGAACATCAGGGCTGGAAGGGACCATGGTTATCACTTCGTGTGGGAATTTTCAGTCTGCTGCCTAGAGCCCCAGAGCAGCTTCTCTCTTCTCTGTTTTACACCCTGGGGTTCCAGGCAAGACAGTTCAACGAAAGGGCTCTGTGTCTAAAACTTTGGAAACTGCCAATGCGGCCCAAAGTCCCCATTGTAAAGAGGAAGCTAGTGAGGCCATAGAGGGTGGTGTTTGACCAAGGTCACGCAACACGAGACACTTGAGAAGCAGACCCAGCCCTTGACTCCAAGGCCAGGGTGGTGCTGGACAGCCCTCTGAGTGTGCCTGGACACCAGTGGGCAGAACTAAGGGCTTCATGATGAAGGATGGAGCCTTGGAGCACTGGCGGGCCGGTGGGTGGAGGGTGGCCTGGCCTCAGTGCCTGTCTACCACAGGTACCTAGGTCAGGTGGACGACAGCGAGTTTGAAAGCGCCCTGCAGGCGCTGCAGCTGACCAGGAGCATCTGGACCATCGACCTGGCTTACCTCATGCGCCACTTTGGCGTGAGGCACCGCTTCTGCACCCAGACCCTGGGCGTTGACAAGGGCTACAAGAACCAGGTGAAGAGCTGCCTGGCAGGGCCTCCCTAGCGGGGCTGCGGGAGGATGTGACTAACCCCTTGCAGTTGTTGGAGGAGGGAATGGTCAAGGACCCTCCAAGGGGCACACAGGTGTGTGGAGACCAGGGAGCAGTGACAGACCTACTGTAGGTGGGGTTTGCAAGCAGGTCAGACCAGGTAGCCTTTGAGCTCTGGCCTGTTGTCTTAGAGTTGTCTAGAAAAAGAGAACCAGTGAGATGGGTGGGTGGAAGGATAGATATTGATTTGCTTCAAGGGATTGGCTTACGTGGTTGTGGGGGGCTGGCAAGTCTGAAATCCATAGGTCAGGCAGCAGGCTGGAGACTTCTACAGGCTTCCGTCCAAAGATCCATAGGTCAGGCAACAGGAAGAGTGCAGAGTAGAGAGAGTGAGTTCTGCCAAAATATCTGTTTATTATCTGTAGGCAGACCATACCTAAGGAACTCCCTTTTCAACTGATTGATTACATTAGATTACATTATGGAACAGCAACTAGTCTAGGCTTGACCAAACCACTGGGAACCACAGCCTAGCCAAGCTGACACATAAAATTATCCATTACACCTGCCTAGAACATCTGAGCAGCGAGTCCCAGGGACCCTCCAGGCCTGCCTCTCACAGCTCTCAGGAGGTTATGTCTCAGGCTGCTTTCTTGTGGCCTTTCCTTCAACTCTGCAGCAGGAGGCAGGGTCCCGGGCCACGGACCATGTTGTCCAACTTCATCTGGCCATCGCGGGCTCATTTTTTTTCTTCCCAAGGGGATAGCAGTTGCAAGTTGGATAATTGATATTCTAGGAGAAAGCCAAAATTCTTTCTTTTTTAAAATAATGCCAACATGGTCAGCCCTGCCAGCACCTGGTACATCTCTGCCTCCTTCAGGCCAGAGCAGATCCAGCCTGCTGCAGGACTGGTCCTAGGAGAGGGGCCTCATGCACCTTTGACCTCACAGGCTTGGGGGAGGCTGCACATGGGGCTCTCGGATCTGGCCTGCTCCCTGTGGCTGAGAGGCAGAGAAAGGGCCCCAAAACAGGCTCTCCTCACCTCCCCCATGGGGTGGACCTCCTTGAGACCCCTGCACCAAACAGAGTTGTCTGGTTGGCTATGCCTGGCTGAGCATAGTGGGTTCAGGTGGGCCTGTTGCTCATCTGCTACCAGCTCCTGCTCCCGCCCGCCCATCCACAAGCCCCAAGTAACTCATCCCCCAGGGAGCTACCCCCAGCATCCTCTTTCTGCCCCTGTGCTGTCCTCACACCCAGCCAGCCCCTCCACAGCTCAGGACAGACACTGCTCTGGCTAAGTGGGCTGCACGTGCCCCGTGCCCACAGGTGGCTCCTCTCCTCTCCTGCCATCTTTGAGTCCATCTTCCAAATAGGGTGAGGACAGCCAGGTTGGCAGCTGATCCACCCTGCCCCTCTCCCCCCAGTCCTTCTACAGGAAGCACTTTGACACAGAGGAGACCCGGGTGAACCAGCTGTTCGCACAGGCCAAGGCCTGCAAGGTGCTGGTGGAGAAATGGTGAGCCCACCCACGCCCTTCCTTGAGCACGCTCACCCACCGACTTACAGGGATGGGGGCATCTGGGGGGCATCTGGGAAGGGCAGTGGACTCTGAAGTCAGGCAGAACTGAGTTTTCCTACAGAGTGTCTGAGCTTCCTCAGGCCACTGTCACAAATTACTACAAACTAGGTGGCTAGTTTGGGAGGCTAGAAGTCTGAAATCAAGGTGTTGGCAGGGCCATGCTCCCTCTGAAGGCTCTAGGGGAGGATCCTACCCTGGGTCTTTGAGCTTCTGGTGTTGCCAGCAGTCCTTGGCATCCTTGGCTTGTAGACGCGTCACAGACCCTGCCTCACTCTTCGTATGGCCTTCTCCCCTGTATGTCTGTGCGTCCAAACTCCCCTCCAGTCATGTTGGATTTAGGGCCCACTCTAATTCATTATGACCTCATCTTAACCTGATAACATCTGCAAAGATTCTTTTTCCAAATAAGATTACATTCACAGGTACCAGGAGTTGGGACTTGCACATTCCCTTTTAGAGGACATAATTCAACCTACAACACCAGGTGACTGTAAGAGCTTATTGCCCCTAGCTTTGGTTTTTCCATCCATGAGGTAGGGATCCATGGGGCCTAAGGTATACAGGGCTCAGGTCTGCGGTGGCTCCTAAGCAGGTACTGGAGGGATGGTGTGTGAGGCCGACTCTGCCAGCCTGAGCTGGCTCGCAGAGTGGGGGCAGGGGCAGTGCGCAGGAGCCCTAACAAAGGGGTGAGGCCTGAAAAACGTGCTGGCTTGGGCTGACAAGGCTGGGGGGGCCCTGCTTCTTGTCATTGCTGAAACCCCACCATCCACAGGCCATTTGCAACTCAGCCAGCTATTTTGTTTCAAACATCAAAGGGAAAAGAACAGGCTTCCCTGGGCCAAGGCAGCGAGCCACGTGGCCACATGGTCTAGCATGGGCTGGAGTCAGGCCAGGCCACATGGGGCTGGTGCTCCTGTTCCTGAGGACGCCACTGATGAGGGTGGGTTCAATCAGGTGAGTGTTCCTTGAGCAGAGATGGTGGCACCTGGCCAGGAAGGTCCTCACCTCTTGTAGGTCTTCATCTGGGCTGGCTTGCCTGTTGAGGGCTTCAGCATGGGGCAGTGCCTGTGTGTCTGCCTTGAGCTGCTTTAGGCAGCCATCTCAGCTGGACAGGGGCCACCCTGGAGAGGCTGCTGAACAGCCCTTCTGACGGGCCTGAGAGAAAAAAAAAAGTACCTTCAGAGAAGCGTCTGGTTGGAACTTGTCATGCCATGCTTGGCTTAGAGAGCTAAACTGGACTGGAGTTTCCAGTATAAACCATATATAATTTAGATTAAAGGAACAATGAAGACTCGGTAAAAAGAATTCACTAGCCAGGCGGGGTGGGGGCTCCCGTGTGCAGCTCTAGGGCCCTGACTAGGACGGTGGGAGCTGCCTCCTGCTGCCCTGGGCCTTGCAAGCCACCATCCTCGGCTGGCACACAGCCCCAAGACCAGGCAGGGCATGCAAGAGCCCAGAGCAGGGGAGGACATGCATGACCCTGACCTCTGACACAGGGCAGAGCAAGGAGCGTGGGACCAGGCAAAGGCACGGAGCCCACTAGGGGCTCCACCTCAGACGTGGGCAACCTAGCGGTCAGCTGATGCCTCCCCCATCCCCCTCCCCACAGCACGGTGAGCATGCAGGACATCCAGGCACACCTGGCTCAAGGTCATGTGGCCATCGTGCTGGTGAACTCAGGTGTGCTACACTGTGACCTCTGCTCAAGCCCCGTCAAGTACTGCTGCTTCGCCCCCCGTGGGCATCGCTGCTTCTGCCGCACCCCTGACTACCAGGGACACTTCATCGTGCTGCGCGGCTACAGCCGGGCCGCCGGCTGCATCTTCTACAACAACCCTGCCTATGCTGACCGTGAGTACATGCGCCCATGGTCCCTCCCTCAACTCTGGAATGGCCAAGATCTCCCTCTTCGCTTTTTCCCCAGAGCCCCTGCCCCCCATCCCCTGAACTCCTGTCCTCGGTGCCAGTCCCCTTTGCCATACAGGCAAACCAGCCACCCGCCCAGCCCCATACCACACACCCCACACCCCTGCCCAGGCCCTGGCCCCAGCCCCCAGCCCCTCAACCACTGCCCAGGCCCCGGTCCTACTGTCTCGCTCCTGCAGAGGCTTAATCTCCCTTCTTCCTCCTCCAGCCCAGCCCTCCCAGGACAGCCAGCACACACTTATAAAATCCATTCTGGCCCAGCCACCCGGAGTTAGGCCAGACAAAACAGGTGAAGGGCACAGCTCTCCATAAGACCGCCCTCACTTCAGACATCACTCACCAACTCAGTGGTCCCCAGGCTACCTGTGCTTCTCACCAGCTAGCTACAAACTCAGGAGTTCCCCTGGCCCCTCAGGTTCGATAATTCACTAGAGCAACTCACAGAACTCGGGAAAACACTGTATTTATGTTTACAGTTTTATTACGGCAAAAAAGAATCCAAATTGGAATCAGCCAAAAGAAAAATCCCCTAAGGCACAGTCCCCAAGCACAGAGTGTGGTGTCCTCTTCCTGGGGAGTCAGACCCGTCACTCTCCCGCACAGGGTCATGTTGTCAACTGGGGACATGCCCTGGAGCTTCCAAGCTTCCATGTCCAGAGTTGTCACTGGATTTCATTACTAGGCATGGCTGATTGAATCACTGGCCACGTGATTAGACCCTGTCTCCTGTCCTCCTCCCTCCCCAGAGGTGAGGCTGTTATCCCCTGGTGGGTCTTTCTGGTATGGCCAGGCCAACCCGAGTCGTCTTATACATGTATACTATCAGGTGTGGTCTGGAGGCCCTGCCCAAGTAACAAAGACACTCCAGTCACTCGGGGAACTCCATGGATTTAGAGATTACATAGGAGTCCCCGGGTGGTGCAGTGAACACACTTGGCTGCTAACCCAGAGGCACTTCAGAAGAAAGGCCTGGTGATCTATTTCCAAAAAATCGGCCACTAAAAACCCTATGAAGCACAGTTCTACTCTGACACACCTGGGGTTGCCATGAGCTGGAATCCACTCAATCACAACTGTTAACTGTTAAAGAGGTTACTTCCCAGGAGCGGGGGAGAAAGGCCATATTCTTTGGGTAAAGGTAATTCTTCACAACACTGGTAGAGAAAGGAAGACCTGGCCAGACCATGCCCTGCTCAGACCCATTCTGGTCTGGGGCGCAGGGAGGGACTGGCCTGACCCACACTGACCCACGTGGCCTTGGTAGGCTTCTTCCCCTCTTTGGGCCTCGCTCTTTCCCTCTGTTAAATTGGTCAGAGAATGAGATCATGAGGTTGGAACAGGCAGGAGTTGAGCTATGCCTCGAGAGGTAGCCAGGCAGGTGGGACATGGTCAGACTCACCCAGTCCCCAGTCACTAGCATGGCACCCTCCTCCCCCTGTACCCCCACAGGTATGTGCAGCACCAGTGTCAGCAACTTTGAGGAGGCCAGAACCAGCTATGGCACAGATGAGGACATCCTCTTTGTCTACCTGGACAGCTGACAGCGGGGCCTGGTGCACAGGGCCCACTCAGGAGCCCTGGTCCAGCTTGCTGGGCTGGGAGCTGAGCTGCAGCCCTGCTCTGGGAGGCAGCATAAGGTTGCTGCCTGCCAGTGCTGGTTGCCAAGAGGAGCCCCCCAGAATCCCAAGCCTGAGTCAGACGTGCCCAGCGGGAGTTCAGACCCCAGGAGCCCTTGTTGTCTGTGAGCACAGCCCCAGGGCGAGGGAGAGGCCTGCGAAGTCTTCCCCATGGACCTCGGTACGTGAGCCCTGAGAAGAGAAGGCGCTAACCTGAGAAGCTGCTTGTCAGGGCAGCACCTGGTGTGGGAGATGTCACAGCCCACCTCAGGCCCCTCCAAGAACTGTTCTTGCCCCTTGCTGTCTGGGAAGGGCTGCAGACTTCCCCCTGCACCCCTTGAGGCACACTGCCACCACCTCATGCCCCCACAGCAGGCCCAGGTCTCTTCTGTTCATGAGGCCTCTGACCCTGCCCCCGGGTGTAGGCACACCTCACACCACTGTCCCACAGAGCCCCAGCCTTTGGCGAGAGCCCAGACCTCCACGGTACGCCAGCTCTGGGCCTTTGGGCTTTGGTGGGCCCCATCCCACTAGGAGGCCTGATGACTGGCAGCACAGACTGTGGCCCAGGAATGTTTGGTCCCGAGGTCCAAGAACAACTGCTTGGGTCCCAAAGAGCCCCTGCACCCATGAGGCATCCTGGCACTCGCCAAGGCCTGGACAGCCAGGCCTATCCTCAGAGTGCCAGTGCCCTGAGTCTCCAGGCTCTCACCAGCCTGTGCCCCCCTGCCCTGCTTTTCACCCCTGGACCCTTGACAGAGAAGAGTGGCACCTGCCCAGGATCACACAACCCAGCAAGTTGTGTAGGCTGCAGCTGTCTCCTCTCTCGTGTGTGTATGTTTTCTCTTTTATTGGGTGAGGGTCACTTTCACATCAGACAGTAATAGTGAGATCACAGGTACTTCAGAACCACTAGCACCTGTCTTCATGAGGCAGGTCAGCCAGCCTGGGTTTGCTCGCAGAGAAGGGGCCAGTGCCGGCAGGCTGAGCGCTGCCCCTCTCCTCACAGACAAACCTGGTTGTCGGATAGAGTCCACCCAGGACGGTGTGGAGCCTTGAGTCCAGAATCATTCTCACAGGGGCCACTGTGTACACCTGGGTCCTGGTTTGCAGTGTCCAAGGCATAAGGTGGTGGCACTGCCACCCCTCCCCACTGCCTGTTGGCCCCGCCCACCCAGTGTTCTGCATCCCAGAGCTGTCACCCCATATCGCTTCTCCACACCAGAAGCAGCTTTTGGCCAGTGGTCGGGGTGGGGGTGGGGTGGCGGCTGGCATGCAGAGTCACTTTGCTGGCTGGGCAGCCACCCCGATTTCAGGGACTTATTGGCTCTAGATGGGTCTCTTCTCCATTGCCTTAATGCTAATGGCCCACAGCCCTGAGCACTTGGGCCCCGGAGTCCCACACACAGAAGCTGCACAGCTGAGTGGTTGGGTCACTGTGTCAGGAGGATGATAAGAGGAAGGAAGCTTCTGGGACGCTGAGTGTGAGCAAGGGCCGTGCATAGGCCAGGCTGCCAGGAGCCACTTGGACCACGGATGGTCCACAGGACACTTAGAGAGTGTTCCCAGGCTTGGAAGATGACTCAGGGCAAGCCCTAAGCTGGAGGTGGCCCACCTCTGAGCTGTCTGATCTGCCTGGGGTGGGCTTGGAGGCAGGATGCAAACCCCACTGCGGTGCCTTCTTGCACAAAATATGACAGTGGGCCAGAGAAGGAGGCCGGACATCAGGGACTTGTGCCCACACCATGCGTCATGCCCACCTGCACACGCTGAGGTCCAGCTCCAGCTGCAGGGAGCAAAAGGGATATTTTGCATTACAGAGATTTTATACATAAATATATTTTGTTTGTTAACGAGCCATTGTCAATAAACATTCTCACTGCAGAGTGGCTGAAGCCCTTGCCCTCCTGTGGAGGTGCACCAGTTTGTAGAATGCCTGTTTCCATCTGGAGTCCTTGTCACTCCTTGAGGCAGGTCACCTCAGCCTTGTGAGCGCATGGGGACCCGGGTCCTGACTGGCTGTCCCCAGTGCTGGCTGGGGCTAGAACCCGGTTTCCCCTTTCCAGGCCTGTGTCAGTGGTGGAGGGAGACCTTGCTGGACATCTTGATTGTGGTTCCTGAGGAGGCACAGCCCTGGGCAAAGGGGGTGAGGATAGCCAGCCCACGGGGCGGGTAGGGGGAACTGAGCCCTCTCTGCACTCCCTGCCCCCAACCAGCATCTCCCCCTTCTAGATAGGAGGCTCCTATCTAGTATTTCATCTGGTAAGAATTCTACCTCTGTAAAAGGGCATGTTTGGGAGTGCTGGCTGATCTGACAGCCTCTGCCGACCCCAGGGCTGGCAGGGAGCTGGTGGAGCCATGGCTGATTTCTTGTGTAGGGTCCCTGTTTTCACCCTGTGCTTGCCCCTCTGTCCTTGCCCACATCATGGAGATGGACCGGTGAGAGCCAGAACTCAATGAGAATGCCTTGTTTTTCCGGGTCTTGCAAGTTTTCTGCCTGTGACGGTGCAGTCTTACTACTATTCTATTACTGCTTTTAGTGGAAAAGATTTGAGTCTGCCTTCTCTGACAGGTTTCTGCCTTACACAGGTTCTGGCTTTCGCAGGTTTTACTGTATTAGTTCTGGCTGAGGTCTTGGATGCTACTCCAAACTGAAGAGCAGCCTTGTAGACACTTGCAGTTGGGTATTGACCCTGCTGGAGAGGCCACATGAGCCCCCAGCTACAGTAGAATGCCAGGCAGCAGAATAGGCGTCCTGCGTGTGGCCAGCAGCCCATGAACATGCCTTTCTGACTTCAGCTTGAGCCTCGGGAGCAAGGGCCCCATGCTGAATGGGCACAGCCTGGTTTGGGGCCTCTGAACCTGATGGTGGAAGAAAAGAGACAGCATGAGGGAGGTGTTGAGGCAGGAGGAACAAGAGTGGGTGGGTGGCTGGTGAGCCCTAGGTGGAGTGGGCTGTCTAGAGCATGCAGGATGGAGTGGGGAGACAGGAGAGAACTCTGGAGAGGGGCCCCACTGGGAGCCGAGGGGCAGGCCAGAGCAGAGATCTAAGCCCAGATAACATGCCAGGACCAGCTGCCCCTGGGGTGGGAACACACGGCACCCCACCTTGCTAGTGCTTTGTAGTAGGGGATAGCACCCCCATTCCTAGCCACCTCATGGGCCCGCCTCTGTCTGCACAACACCTCCTGAGGCCACCTTCCACTTACACCTGTAGATCCCCAAAGTCCCCCAATGCCTGAGGGAGCCACACTGGGCCATGTCTCAGGCAGAGGAGTAGATTCCACATGGCATCAGTGCTTGTACCCGTAGAGCCAGACACACATGGACTGTGGACCACTGCGCGATTTTTTAGTTACCTACTGATGCATACCAGATCACTGAAACAGCATATCTGTCATCTCATGGTGTCTGTGGATCAGGAGTCTGGGTGCGGCTTAGCTGGAGCCATCAGCCGGGGCTGTGGCCACTTCAAAGCCTGACTGGGGCTGGAGGATCTGCCCCAAGCTCGCTCTTGGGGCTGTTGGCCACAGGCTACCTGGGTGTCTTCACTGTGTGACAGCTAGTGGCCCATGAGAATGCCAGCAAATGCCCGGTACAGAAGCCACCTCGTCAGAGTGATAGCCTCTCACTTTTGCGGCATCTGTTGTTGACAGCAAATCACGAAGTCCAGCGCACACTGGGGGTTATGCTAGGCATGAACACCACAAGGCCATCATCATTGGGGTCACCTTAAAGGCCTCCTATCACAACAATCAGTGGGGGGCTCAGAGTTTTAAATCTCAGAGCAGAGCTAGAAAGGTCTGGAGACCTCTGGCCTAGCACCTACCAAGGCATGCCCTTCAGAACACCAGTAAGAATTTCTGTGTAAATGGGTGTCCCGGGCAGGTGACCTCGGCACACAGTGTGTGCCACTGTCCCCCAGGAGGTTTAGGGTGTGTGGGAATGGCTCTGTGTAGCCCCCATCCATCCAGGGCTCCCCTAGCCACGGAGTCCTTTTGTGTGTAACACTGGAGTTCTGTGAAATACACTGACACTTGGGCGACCACTGCTCCACCTCAGGTGCAGACCAGAGCCCAGGGAGAGGCAGCCACCAGCCCAAGGTAATCACTTGGTGAGCCAAAGCCAGCCTCATACATGCCCCTGCTGTTTGCCCAACCCTCGGCCCAGCCACGGTCAGAGACCCTGTCAGGCTGAGACGGTGCCAGGATGCAAACTCTGAGCTCTGGAGCATGGCTGCGCTGGCCCCTGGGGCCCACCTCCAGGTGGAAAACTGGTGACTGTGACACCCTAGAAGATCACATGTCCTGCCCTGCTGCCAGCTCACCCCCATCTGACCTGCCCCCACAGCATCCGGGCACCCACATGACAGACTCACCCCTCCCTCCGGCCTCAACAGAAATGAGAAAACCAGGAAAAGACTGAGGCGTCATCCTACTGAGCTTCTGGTCCCCAAGGGCTGAGGGGTGGACCTGCATGGCCCTGAGTGCTCATGGAAAAACCTTAACACAGGAAATGAAGAGGCAGAGATGCCCCTGGCCCAGACCAGAGGCCCTTCCAGGGCTTCTCCATGCTCTCCTCCTGCCCCATACCCCTCCTCCTCTGCCTCTCCTGGCTGCCTGTCCTAAAATCTGCTGCCCGAGGATCTGCCCTGAGTCCCCGTGATTTCCTTGTGGGGGGCTTCCCACAGCCCCGGGGGAGTGGGGTGTCTCAGAGCCACATCTCACTCTACCCTCATGCAGACTCATGGGGCAGCCAAGCTGGCCTCTTCTCAGTGCCTCTCACCTGCCAAAGTGCTTTCTTTCCTCAGGGCTTTTGCACCTGCTGTTCCCCTGCCCCCTCCCTCAGGGTTCTGCCCAAATGTCACCACTTTCTAAATGGGCACCTCCATCTGTCCTCCCCTCATCCCTGCTCAACCACATCATCCTGTCTACCTGTCTCCACTGCTGTAGCCCTTGTGCCTGACCTGTAGTAGGTGCTCAGAAAATGTGAGTGGATGGTAGGCAGGGCCGAAATCACACATCTGGCCCAGATGTGAAACCCAGAGTAGGTTAGAGGGCAGAGGCGGGACTTGAACCCAAGGCCCTGAATTTTAAGCCTACAGCATCTTTAACAACTCCTGTCTCAGTGGCTTTCCTGTACTTTGTGGAACAGTCACTGTTATAGGGGTGGCTGCATTTGAGCCTTTGATGTCATGCAAAAGTCAGCAGTTTCTCCCACAGGGACTGGTGGAAGGGTAAATGGGGAATGTTTTTCACAGTGTAATTTAGCAGTGTACTATTGGGAGACAATTCCCCATGGGGTTCTGCATTTCTGCACATCTCAAAAGCAAAGGCCCTGATTGCCTTTGTTCTGAACTATTTCTTCAAGGATGTTTGTACAGCAAACAGCCTAGGGAGATAGAGATGGTGTCTTCCTCTGGAGCAAAGGGAAGGTTTGCTCACAGCCCTGGAAGACAGCAATAGTGTTCTCCTTTGAAGCAAAAGACAGGCAGGTGTACTGCCCACTATAAACGATTCAGGTTCTTTAAACTTAGGCTTTCTCTCTTGTAACACAATCCACTGAAATTCAGGTGTCACCTGGCCCTCTTTGTGTCACCCTTCGGAGTTGGACTTGGGAAACCAGGCAAGAAAATGCTGGTTCTCTGGCAACAGCTATTGCTGTAAAAAACTGTCCATTGTCTCTGTCCCAGGAGTGTCCTTTCTTCTACCAACACCCATGAAACCATGGCAGGCTAACTTGTGAACTTGTAAGTAGAGTAAAATCTCAGATCCTTCATGGTTCTTGACAGTTTTGGCGATGTGTGTGGGATGCCTTTTTTTTTTTTTTAATATTGTAAAAATATACACAACATAACATTGCTAATTCAACATTTTTATGGTGTACAATTTATTGTTATAAATTACATTAATCATGTTGTGCAAGCATCACCCATAATCATAACCAAAGAGGATGGGATGCTGACAGAGATATGACTTTCTGGGAGAAGGGTGAGATCCTCACAGGCCATTAGTAGAAAGTGACACACATCAGTAGTTCTTGCAGTCAGCCCCAACACCCTGGAAAACTCTTATGTTAAAACTGGGCAAAAACTTAAATAATATGATGACAGCATTAAGGTTGTTGTTAGCTGCTGTAAAGTCAACCCCCAACTATTTACGTGATGAAAAACTTTTGGGAAATGGATAGTGGTGGTGGTTGCACAACATGGTGAATGTAATTAATGTCACTGAATTGTATCTTTAACAATGGCTAAAATGGCAATTTTTTTCATTGTATTTTTATTATGATAAAATTATTTTAAAAAATGTTGCTAGCTTGGCCCTAGTAGCATCTCGGCTTTACATGAAAATATGGCAGCTAACCTTTTAGGGGAAACTTTATCCTCCACTCCAGTGCCTGCAACAAAGCCACTGGCTCAATGGGGACCTCAGTTCACAGAGGTTCCCCGATTGCCTGGGCCTGGGTCACTGATGGTTTGACTAAGCTAAAACCCGATGGTGCCCACTGGGCTGCTATGGCTATTCAACCTCAACACCCAGGTATGTGGAACTGAAAATAGACATGAATTTCACTGCTCAGTAGGCAGCACTCAAGTCCATTCTCATAGCTCTGGCCAATACTCCCCTTGATGAACCTTGTTATATTTTTACTAACTCTTGGGATGTTACCAATGGCCTAGTTGTTTGGTCTGCCACTTAGAAAATCTCAAAATATCAGATTAAAGATATCCCTCTTTGGGGACATGAACTGTGGAAACAAACTAGCAGTGGTCAAACTATTTGGGTCACTCATGCAGATGCTCATGATGAGAGCCTGTGTTCTGATACCAACTGGAATGGAGCTGTTGATGGAGCTTGCACTGCCCAACTTGCCACCTGGATCCATTAATGTGCTGGACATGGAAACAGCTCTACTATTGTGGCCTGGACACAAAGTAAAAGATGCAGAGGCTACCACTGCATGCCAGACTTGTGATTCCTGCCAAAAGGTGACACATTCATCTTTCAGTGAAGGAGGTCACCTTGCACAGGGCATGGCCCCACCTGCTCTGGCACACTGACGACATTGGACCTTTGACTCCCTCCCAGAGCTATTGGTGGTGCTTCACCACTGTTGACACTATTTCAGTTACAGTGTTGCTAGTCCAATCCAGTCTTCCAACTCTGGCTACTCCTTTGTAGCCCTTGAAACTAACATGTGTCGTGTTTTTAACTTCCTGGGCCATTTGCAGTCTGACAATTGTGTGCCTTTTACCACAAAAGCCACTCAACAATAGGCAAGTTATTCAATGGACCTTCCACACTCTCTGCCATCCATAGGCATCTGGTATTGATGAGCATTTGAATGGCCTCCTCAAAAATCAACACAAAAATGTTTCTGACTCTCCCTCCTTCAACTACTCCTGGTCCACGCACTTTAAGTAAAGCAATTTGGTCACTGAATGCAGCTGTCTCTAGAAAGACTGCTTACTGGGTAACAATCTGGGTGAAAGGGGTGGAGGGGTTACAAAAAATTTATTTTGAAAATTTAGGATTCTGTGCTGACTATTCTTGGGCATGTTTCTTCTTTATTTTCCCTAACAGAAACCCCAAGCCAGCCTGGTTGGCACACCCTCCAGGTGGAAGCCCAAACAAAAGGGGGAGGGTTAAGGGATTCAAACTTAATTTGGGCTCAGCCACCTGGATTCTCTTGTTAGACTAACATGGTCTTAGGTCGTAAGGACCACCTGGGTGAGTTCATTGCTTACTGAGTGTGTACAGTGGCCTCCAAGGGACAAAGAGGGGACTATAATTTGGTCTCTCCTTGTCCCTCTTGCATCTGACCCTTCTGAACAAAGGTTTGGATGTGAATAAGGGATTACCCGGAAAGAAGGTAACATTATAGCTACTGGAATGGGACATACCGATTTTGTGGCAGTGAAGGAAGGTGAAGTAGCAGCTTTGGCACCCGGATAAGAAACACCTTAGACCTCTAGTGATAGGGAGGAAGGGGCATTAATGATCTTTATCTTTCAGAAATGCCCCTGGAGCCTTCCTTATGAAAGAAAATGCCCTGCTGCCGCTCTCCCAAACTCTTGCAAGCACCTTAAGATTGACTGCAGGGTCTGCCTTCTCCCACCAGATGGCGATAACTACAATTTGATCACCATTCCCCTTAACCTTACCAGAAGTCTATCAGAAACAGCAGAGGATATCCCTGGCTCCTGCACCTCCCACACAAAACACCTGTCAATACCACCAGCTGTCTTCTCTACCCCTCATCCCATGGACCTCACTCAGTCATTCCTCAGGGCAGACAAATGCCACCCAGCTGGTACACAAACAAACAAGATAGATTGGACCAACTGCCCCCAGGCAGTCCTTCCAAATACAAGGATTAGACTCAGTTATTCAAACTAAATTGGGAACCCTAAGGTTGACCAGCTGGCCTGGAGGCCACAGTGGAGGCACATCAACCTGTGCCCCCTGACTGATTAAGTCCCACTTGGAGACTCCAACAATTGCAAAAAACATTTTATTTCTAGGGGCACCAAGTATGTCCTCATGACTGTACTACTTATGTGGAAGCTGGGCATTAACTTTCTTTTCTCCCAGAAGCAATGACTTGCATCTTAGGGGTGGTCATGACAGACCTTCAAGCATTTAGCAAACACCACC